TTACGACGCCCACGGGAAAAGAAGGGATGGTCAATTCTATTCCGGGAAAAAAAATAACTACCGTATTTTTTTAATGGTCGAAAATTGAATGGTAGTTTCGCCTGCGCTATCGGTGTAGGCTGGCGGAGCACCAGTGAGAGGTGATAGGTGAGGATGAAGCAGGTCAGTTAGCCCATCGTGACAAATAGCACTAGAATTAACCACTATGGTTTCCAGGGGGAACCATGTGGAGGTCAATCTGATAGGGTGTATTGCTAGCAATGGGGCAGTTAGACCCCATTACTAACAATCCCTTTCCCCCAATAACACCCAGTTCAGTAACATATTTAATTGGCACTTAGCTCTCTCTGCCAACCCCATTAAGGACCTGACATGAACATTCTAATTGCATATGGAAGATAGGATATCTGTACCATGGGAGATATTTAAGAAAAAAATATATAGGTAGTCTTAATAGGGGGTAATAGAAGCTAAAACAATAAAACAACTAAAACACCAAAGGAGACTTTGTACAAAAATCGATTGCTTGGGTACCTCTGTCCCATTCGTGTTTCAACCGTAAAGCAGTTGTGTTTGCATGGCTGTGTTTCGGTTTGAAAGGTGGGATATGGCAGTGAATTTACTGGGTACAGAGGAATAACACCTGAGTCCTCAGGAATGGCAACGCATAGGGGGTATCATGGGCGAAACAGTATACTCTGTTATGTCCATGGTACTGCTCATGTCTATAGGCGACGGTTACCACTTTCCATCAGGTGGGCCGTCAGCTTGTTTGCTATTCTAAGTTGTATAAAAAAAAATTATTACTGGTTTAGTTACTATTCGATATTTTTAAAACAATATAAAACTTGGGAGATGATGCTTACTGTATTGCAGCGCTACCCTCAATAAAATAATAACTAAAATAAAATCCGTTAATTTAGGAGCCGTTACGTAATATTATCTGTGACACAATAGTGCAGATCAATAAACTCGTCAAATATTATGTCAAATCGCAATACGGGTCCTTTATTTGTCACCCATTTTGTTTACCCATTGTTATCTATGGTACCTGTTGTTGCTTTTTTTTTTTCGGAAACGGACATAGGAAAGGTGATTTCCAGCCAGTATTCATTTGAACCTGTTCGTGTAAGGTGCAATTTTTAAATTTAGAACAGACTCAATAGTGACGTGATTGATAAAAAAGTAGATTTAATTTTTTTTTTTTTAGTTATTGTAAGATAATGAAGTATCCATGCAAAAAAATGTTCAGTAAATACACGACCGATTTGGACATAGACTTTCGTAAGTGGTTTATATTATCTAAGAGTGGTGAAACATGAAAAAGAAAATCTTTGGTAATTAAATAATGACAAACACATATGCACGTACGTACCTACTGTCCTTATTTATATAAAATTTTGTTTTTTTTTTATATTACTATAGTGGCAAACAAGCATACAGCCCGTCGGATGGTAAACGGAATGACCGTATACTATGAACGTCCGGTAACACCAGGGATCACACACGCGCGTTGCTGATCCTCAAGAAACCTTAATTCGCTCTTTTTGAAGAACCCCTGCTGTAGTCTCTAGAGAAAACCTTGACCTGTTTATTACTACTTGGAGCCTTTAAACAATCGTTATGTATTATTAAGAAATATAACATACACATTCTGTATAGACGGAGAAAGACATGAATAGGGTACTATTTTCCCCAATCACGCGGACAAAGCCGCGGGTATAAGTTTATTATATATAAAATGGTTGACTGGTGGAGAAAACCGTCCCGTGTTAAGTCCACCAAATGTACATAGAATTCAACTGTGCATTAAAGTTTAAATAAATAAATACCAAATTTAAAATGCCACTCTGAACTTGTGGCAATAATAAATTACTTAAAATAATTAAAAAAAAACCCCAGTATTAACTAGACTTAATTTAATATTCGCTAAATGAGTTTTAATTAAAGGCCGAAATTAAAAAGGCAGATTTGTCGATTTAAAAGAATTATTTTTCTTAATCCTAATTGACAATTATCAAAAATTACCTATTATAAAAATTACTCTCTTTTTAAGTTAATATTTTACTAAAATTCATTGTGCCAATTTTTTATTATACAAAAAGTTCAAATATCATCTTTATTCACTAGTGACTCGCCCCGACTCCGCACGGATGCAATGCTGATACTAAATAGCCCCCCCCCCCCATTACATTACGAAATCATATTAGAAACCTCCAAAATTATCAGTATTTCTCTACTGTAATATGTATGTATTAGCACATAAACCTTCCACTTGAATAACTCTATTTAAAAAGACGCATCAAAATCCGTTACGTAGTTATAAAAATCTAAGCATACATAGGGACAGACAGACAGAAACTTTGTTTTATACTATGTAGTGTTAATCTTATTAAATATTTAAATAAATGTTTGTGGTGCAATAAAGAGTAAAATAAATAAATAATTATAGTAATCAAGATTATGTCACTGTACAATTTAATTTACACTGTACATATAATATAAAAAATAAGTTCACTTCGGTTTTCGTTTACACAGCTAGAGTTACCATACAAATGCTTCAGCAAAAACAGGTCAACTTTTTTACTCCCAAGTATGTGAATAAGGTAAATATAATAATAATAATTTATTTGGTAAAATATGGTTTCTGTTTCAAGCGAACAAATATTTAAAAGCATATAAACTTTTTTTTTATATTATTTAGAATGGCAAACAAGCTGACGGCCCACCTGATGGAAAGTGGTAACAGTCGCCTATAGACATGAGCAGTACCATGGACATAACAGAGTATACTGTTTCGCCCATGATACCCCCCATGCATTGCCATTCCTGAGGACTCAGGTGTTATTCCTCTGTACCCAGTAAATTCACTGCCATATCCCACCCTTCAAACCGAAACACAGCCATGCGAACAGGGTAGAAACTATTACAGTCGGCACGGGCACATCACATGTTTCCGAACAATTACCAATTACATAAATAGAAAATTAATATTAAATGTGAACATTAAAATTTAACGGAACTTGATCACAATCACATCGGTAGCATTCTTTTGTCATTTAGAAAGCCATTAAAAAGATTCCTCCATAATCTATGAAAATACACGTACATTATTACTCTGTATATCATAGAAATTACTCTTCTCCGACCTTAGCCTGTTCCACAACGGAACAAACGTACTAAAAAAAAAAAGAAAGAAATTACTCTATAGGATTAAATTGGAAAATAAGAACGATTCAAAACTTAAAAATATATTTGAAAAAAACAAGATATTTGAAAGAAGGAACAAGTGCCTACATAATGATTCGTGATGATCCTTATATTTTATTTAGTGATCACTGTGATTTACATCTGAATATAGACATGGTTTCTTTTTTAAATCAATTAAAACGACCGCCATTTTAATTGATACTAAAAAAAAATATCTGACAGTTATTGGCTGACTAAATTTTGACCCGTTCTTGACTCTGTTTGTATCAGTATTTTTCAACGGGGTCGTTTGTATAGTAGTAGTAGTAGGGCTCCTATAGTAGGAGGGGGAAGGGGTCAAAACTACCTCAGTAAACAATACAAAATTATAAATATAGATTTATTAAGAATAATGATAATTAAAACATTTGTATGCATTTGTAAATACATAGTTCTTGAATCAAGTCAACTTTCTTAGTCTCAATGAACTTTACTTGATTCAGGAATTTTTTTCGTAATGTAAAACAATCAAATTCTTCAAAATTATTTTCTTGGATCAAGATTTTTTTCTCGTATCGGCATTGGATTTGGTCTGACGTATGTACCTACACGCGAGAATCGCGTTATCATTTTAACGACATTTTCGATGTAAAAATAGGTACTTAATTCTATATTTATCCGAAACCTAATTATGGAAATGCATAAAAATTAAAGTATTCAGTTGCTACAACATCTTTGTAACATTATAAAATACATGAAAAAAAAGCGAAGGGTGTCATGAAAAAGGTTGAAAAACACTGGTCTATATAATTAAAGAGTTCGGCATACGTTTTCCCGCCACGCCCGCCGCCTTACCCTAATACAAAAATATCCGACAATTCGAAAATCGAATTACAAATTCCGATTGAATGGTTGCTCTTATACGATAGTTTATGGCCAGCCACAGCTATAAATGGCCGCCATATGTTCTGTTTATTGTCGTACAACTTTACCAACGAAGGGTGAGCGGTTTTCTCTAATAATTCTGTAAGCTGGCAAGGTCATTTGTAAGTATTAAGGTTGAACTGAATAATTCATCAGGGATGTTGTTTTCCCGCCAAAACGTTGCCATAGATGTTGTTATTTTTTTCCGGAGAAAAGGCGAAGGAACACTCTTGAGAGTTCGCTGTCTTGTTATGAATATGGATGGCGTTCGTTAACATAGTCTATGGATTTTTTGCATGCATAATTGCGTGTTCGTTAATTTTGATTGTTAGGGTAGGTCGTGCAGTTGGAGTACGATGTAGGCGTGCGCACTAATTAGGTAACTTCGAATTTGAATTACAAATTCAAACATATGCTTTCGTGAAGTGGCAGGTACTCAACCGGTTTTTGACCTATTCATGTCTTAATTTCTATATTAGAAAGGAACGAAATTTTAAGTTTTTTTTTTTTTTATTTGCAGTATGATAACTCTTAATTGTTGTATGGCCAGTTAGTAATTTTCCCATTTAAATTATTTGAACATTTTACAAGTTTGAAAGTTGCGTTTAGTTAAGTACATAACATATTATGTCAATTTCTATATATTTAATATTTTCTAGAGAATTTAATTTGTTTTCAAAATAATTAGAAAGTAGAACTAAATCGTAGAACTGTACGGATAAAATGTCTAATAATGATATTGTATTCTAACTTAGCTTCATTGTATTCTTAATCATTCATCAGGTGGACCGTCAGCTTGTTTGCCATTCCAAGTTGTATAAAAAAAAACTACCTTAATATAAAAAAAATACTTATTTATTCATATTGTATTCTAATTTCTTCTATAGCAACGCGCAAAACCACCGCGCGGCACAATCCGCTAAACGCGGCCGCCATCATGAAAGAAAAAAGCAAGAACGCAGCCCGGAGTAGGAGAGAGAAGGAGAACGCAGAGTTCCTGGAGCTGGCGAAACTGTTGCCGCTGCCTTCCGCCATCACGTCACAGCTCGACAAGGCATCAGTCATTCGGCTCACCACCAGCTATCTAAAGATGCGGCAGGTGTTCCCTGATGGTAATTTATTCATTTTATTCTTGGACATATTACTTGGAGTGAAAATAGAACCAACATTTTATTTATTTATTCAATAAAAATAATTACAGCATTATAACAGCAAAAGCCAAATCAATGTTATAAATCTAGTGTGCTAACATACAAAATTAGAATAAATGTATTTTTCTCAAACATATTTGGAAATATGAGCATTATTTTGACAATCTTCTTCGAGATAAATCAAAATTGCCGTACTGACCAGATACACGCGAGCAGCGGCCGGCAAAAGTTGTATGAAAATCCATATCTGTCGTGTTTTGCAGCCAGATAAATTACTATGTAAACTCATATCTGTCCTGTAATTTTAAAATGGAATTACTTTTTACTTCGACACATGGCTACCAAGGAGGTAACTAATAAAAGGTTTATTTAAAAAAATATTATTGTTCGTTATACGTCATTGAACTTAAAAAGTAAAATTGTGTTTTGGATTTCCGCGCATTGTTTGAGAAAAGTACTGTACAAGCCTTGGCCACAACTAGGCATAGATGGACTCACGTGTGTGTGCCTCGGCTACGCCTCGGCTCACATTTGCACGTTCGTCCATCAATGCCTCAGTTGCTGGCCGCTGCAGTAATGTATTATAACCCGACTCTAGATACTTGTGAGCTGCTTCCAATATCTTTTCCAGGCTACTACTAAATATATCAATGATGCTTATAATATTATTTAATAACCGTTCTGCGTGAGTTAAGGGAGCCATGACATGAGAGTCAACCCTATTGATTGTAAAAAAAAATATGAAAATGGATTCAAAATTAGTGACATAATATGTAGCGTAACCTTAGACTATATAGATAGAGCATCGAACCTCAAAAACGGATCAACTTTCAATTCTCTATTTAAAAATGTTTGCATTTTCAGTTTGGATTCTAATTTCGAAACAAAATTGTCAATTCATAGCAAGCTAGTGTATAGAAAATGTCATACGGCCGTATAAACCTACCAAATTCAGATAGAACCTGCTTGCATACTTTTTAAATAAACTGTGTCCAATATATAATCTAGTAATGTAAAATTTGTCATTGACAAATAATTGACATATCAAACATTTTCTATACATTGCCTTTGCCTGCTATGAATTGAGAAAAATAGCAACTGATGGTGTATCTTTCGTTCTCTTTCAACTAATTATATTTGCATAAGAAGAAAGGAGGCAAGCATATGATATACAGTTTTTATTTTATCATTCCTTCTATGTAATTCCTTGTTCTTACTTTCAAAATAATAAAATAATTATCCATTTTCTAATTAAAAATATTTGATTTGTTAACGGATTCGAATTTCAAAAAACTAAAGACGATACTCTATTCCTTTTTTAAAATGTTTGCATTTTTTATTTGAATTCTAATTACAAGGAAATAAAGACAACTCCCTATTCCAGGTCTTGGGGACGCGTGGGGGGCGGCGCCGCCACCTCTGCAGTCCAGGGAAATGTCAATTAGGGAGCTGGGCTCGCATTTACTGCAGACGTTAGACGGATTTATCTTCGTTGTGGCGCCGGATGGCAAGATCATGTACATTAGCGAAACAGCGTCAGTGCATCTTGGACTTAGTCAGGTTTGTACTGTTTTCTTTTTTATGAGGTCCCGGGTTCGAGTCACTTTCGGGTCAATTTGGGAAAGGAACTTTTGAGAATTGACTCGAGATTAGATGGGTTGCGTGCCCCCCCTCCCATGTTCGTTACATGGTCCCATAGCACCCTAGGATACCCTATCCTAATTCCAGAAATAGATGATGGATGTGATTACCTAGCATTTATTACTGGGAGGAAAGGTATTGCTAAGTAATGGGGTCTAACTGACCCATTGCTAGCAATACACCCTATCAGGTCGACTTTCACGCGGTTCCCTATTAGAAAGCTACATTCACCCTGAGTAACATAGGCTATATTTATTGCTAGGAAAGATTAGGGATCCTTACTAAAACTTTAGTAACGTAACTCGAGGTGTAAAAAAATGCTATAAAATATCTTTGGTCGCGTGCGTTGCGGAAACTATTGGTGATAGAACAAAAGTATGTTCTACAATATTGAAGAAAATATCAATAACTACAAAAAACATCGCGACACTATATGTCCAACTATTATCGTTATGTCACAATAACCACTTTTTAAAACGTTGTAAATATTTATTTTTATTTTATTTATTTGGTAAACAACCAATTTCTAATTACACTTAGTATATACATACATATAACTTACATACAAATCAGCAAAGTTTCCACAAGTAACTTTTTTTTTATACGACTTAGAATGGCAAACAAGCTGACGGCCCACCTGATGAAAAGTGATAACCGTCGCCTATAGACATGAGCAGTACCATGGACATAACAGAGTACGAGTATACTGTTTCGCCCATGATACCTCACAGTTTAATAGATCTGTACTAGTAAATTTAATATTCTAGTCATTGCAAGATCTAAACAAATATGTATTACTAGTATATTTTTTATCTATATTAAGTATATTACATTACATATTCTATTAGAGTGTCGTATTAACACGAAGGAAAGGGAAGAATTCATGCGCCACTTTAACTTAAACAAATTTAACGTTGGTCTCATTCAATCTATGTTAGCTGAACTTAAACCAGAACATCTCTGTAAATTATTGATGCCCATTAATTCTTCTCTTTCCGCGTCTAGGGAAAGTAGATAAAGTTTTGTTTGAGAAATCAGTTCAGGGTACGATAGGACTGATATACCTGAAGAAGGTAAAAGCCCTTAAAATAATATTAAAAAAAATAAAAAAAAGTATATTATATTATATTTTTTTATAATTATATTTTGATCACAGGTAGAACTAACCGGCAACTCGATATATGAGTACATACATCAATCTGATCACGAGGAGATGAACGCGGTACTCAGTTTGCAGCATCCGCACACGTATCTCGGACACCAGTATCCATCTATAGGGTAAGTTTCGCGTACAACGCGGTTTCAGAGATGTTTCCTCCCACGAACACTCAGGTTATGGAATGAGCTCCCTGCCGAGGTTTTCTCAAGAGACTGCAGCATGGGGTTCTTTAAAAGGGGGGTAAAGAGGCTTCTTCAGGGTCGGCAACGCGCGCGTAATACCTCTGGTATTGCAGGCGTTCATAGGCTACGGTAACCGCTTACCATCAGGTGGGCCGTATGCTTGTTTGCCACCTCAGTGGTATAAAAAAAAGTTTTTTTTTAAATGGATGATAATGAAATGGTAACCCCGCTTGCGCTATCGGTATACGCTGGCGGAGCAACAGTGAGAGATGACAGGTGAGGATGAAAAGGCAGGTCAGTTAGCGTATCGTGATGAATACACCTGGAATTCAGCACGATGGTTTCCAGGGGAGGCCATGCGGAGGCCGACCTGACAAGGTATATTGTTAGCAAAGGGACTGGTAGTCCGTATTACATACAATGTCTTCCACTGCCACTATCTTGGTTAATCCCACCCTTTAAACCGAAACACAGCCAAGCAGTTGTGTTTGCATGGCTGTGTTTCGGTTTGAAGGGTAGAATATGGCGTGAATTTACTGGGTACAGAGGAATAACACCTGAGTCCTCAGGAATGGCAACGCATGGGGGGTATCATGGGCGAAATAGTATACCCTGTTATGTCCATGGTACTGCTCATGTCTATAGGCGACGGTTACCACTTTCCATCAGGTGGGCCGTTAGCTTATTTGCCATTCTAAGTTGTATAAAAAAAAAAGGAAATTCCTGATGAAGTCGTTATGATGGGCTAACTGGCCTGTTTTCATTCTCATCTATCACCCTTCACTGGTGCCCTACTAGCGTATACTGATAGCGCTGGCGGAGTTACCGTTCCATTTTCACCTTAAACATAACACTGTTAGTAAGAGCTTAATGTATTACAGGTACCCCGTAGGTGGGACGTGGGGTCCAACGGTGGACATCGAGTGTGAGCGGGCATTCTTCATACGAATGAAATGCGTGTTGGCGAAACGGAACGCCGGCCTCACCACCGCCGGGTACAAGGTTCGATTCGTTATTACATTATTACATACTGCATAAAAAAGCCGGTCAAGTGCGAGACGGACTCGCGCAACGAGTGTTCCGTACAAAATTATCAAATTTAATTTTTTTCTTTTTTGTGAAATAACTACTTTACGGTTTACAGATTTTTTATTTTCACTTGTGCTATATGGCATTGCCAAATTTCATGATTCTAGCTCAACGGGAAGTACACTATAGGTTTTTATTTCCTTTACGAATGTCAAAATATGCGATATAAGTGGTACATAAACGGCCGTCTCTTTTGATTGCGTCGATTTAGTAGCTTGATTTCTTCCACTGCTTTAAAAGATTACAGACCTGAGTATATGATATTAATTTAAACATGATACCTCCACGCGGTCCTAAGAAAAAGGGTCTAGACAGACAGACAGACGGACGGATCGACAACGAATTGATCCTATAAGGGTTTTGTTTTTTTCTTTGGAAATATGGAACCCTAAAAAGGTGAGAATCTCTTCGAATTTGAATTGAGAACAATACGAATTCAATTTATTTTTTATTCAAGTTAGATTGACAAACAAGTTACCACTTTCCATCTGGCGGGCCGTCAGCTTGTTTGTCATTATAAGTTGCATGTCAAAAACAATTTACGAATTCATTTTGTTAGATCAATGCACCGCCATTTACTCTTTACAGATGACTGGTAAAGAGTACTGTTGCTAGTAACAAAATGTAGGTATCTTTAAAAACATATGTTTATTTTCAACTTGTGGCGCCACCTGGTGTCTTAATATAGAATTATTGTGACGATAGTACTGTAAACTAGTCAAAGTCTAGTCAGAAGTGAACTAGACTTTGTACAAAAGTCGATTGTTTGGGTACCTCTGTCCCATTCGTGTTTCTACCGTGAAGCAGTTGTGTTCGCATGGCTGTGTTTCCATTTGAAGGGTGGGATATGGCGTGAATTTACTGGGTACAGAGGAATAACACCTGAGCCCTCAGGAATGGCAACGCATGCGGGGTATCATGAGCGAAACAGTATACTCTGTTATGTCCATGGTACTGCTCATGTCTATAGGCGATGGATATTACTTTTCATCAGGTTAAATGAAAAGAGATAAATAAGAGAACCTAACGTAGAATAAACCCGAATTAGGTTTAAATAGAGTTGAGATAACACTAAAACATAAAACTAAAAGTGTATATGTAATTTATTATGACACACACACACACACACACACAGAGAGACACACACGCACACGCACACGCACACGCACACGCACACGCACACGCACACGCACACGCACATGCACATGCACATGCACTCGCACATGCACTCGCACACGCACACGCACTCGCACCAGCACACGCGCGCACACACACGCACACACTCGCACACGCGCGCACGCCCATACACACACGCACACGCGCACACGCACGCGCACGCTCACACACACACACACACACACGCACGCACGCACGCACGCACGCACGCATGCACGCACGCACACACGCACGCACGCACTCACGCACGTACCACGCACGCGCGCGCGCACTCCCGCACGCACGCAAGCACTCACGCGCGCACGCACGCACGCACGCACGCTCGCACGCACGCACGCACGCACGCACGCACGCTCGCACGCACGCACTCACGCACGCACGCACGCACGCACGCGTGCGCGCACTCACTCACGCACTCACGCACGCACGCACGCTCGCACGCACGCACGCACGCTCGCACGCTCGCACTCACGCACGCACCACGAACGCGCGCTCGCGTGCGCGCACTCACTCACGCACTCACGCACGCACGCTCTCACGCACGCACGCACGCACGCACGCACGCACGCATGCTCGCACGCTCGCACTCACGCACGCACCACGAACGCGCGCACGCGTGCGCGCACTCACTCACGCACTCACGCACGCACGCTCTCACGCACGCACGCACGCACGCACGCACGCTCGCACGCTCGCACTCACGCACGCACCACGACGCGCGCACTCACTCACGCACTCACGCACGCACGCACGCACGCACTCACGCACGCTCGCAAGCACTCACGCACGCACGCAAGCACTCACGCACGCGCGCACGCGTGCGCGCACTCACTCACGCACTCACGCAAGCACTCACGCACTCACGCACGCACGCACGCACGCACGCACGCACTCACTCACGCACGCACGCAAGCACTCACGCACGCACGCACGCACGCACGCACGCACGCACGCACGCACACATTATTGTCATAAATAGACACTTTCTTTTTTATGATATGTAAATTTTTTTAGTATTATTGTGTAAAATAAAACAAAATATGAATTATTTTGTTTTGCTGATTAAAAAGAAAGTAAATAGTAATGAACACGAAATTTAATTATTGTTAAGAAAGAGCGGTTTCTCCTAACACAAGCAATCTTTCCTTTACACGATTCTTTTTAACCCCATTGTTCCTGATTATCTTAAAGACCGATTTGTGTTTCTCAGTGAGGCCAATGGCCAAACTTAACGCAGTGTCAACAATCTCTGTCTCAAATTTCCAACTCACTCCACTTCCTTTTATTCTAATTCCTTTACTGTGCAGGCAGTTCGCCTGTGGAACTCACTACCTACCTCTATACGGTGCGCTCAATCTCTCTCTAGCTTCAAAACCTCTGTTAAAGCCCATTATCTCTCCCTTTAAGTATCTATTTTTTCCATTCTATCTTCATCTTCCAGTGTCACTCTCTCCTGTTGTATGTGTGCTTTTAAGTTTGTGTATGTTTTTGTATGTATTTGTTTATGTATATATATATATATATATATATATATATATATATATATATATATATATATATATATGCGTATATATGTATATATCTTTGTATATATTTGTTTACATATAATAGTGCGTCACCTACCCTTTGTTTTTCTTTGTTTTCTCAATGTTCTCTACCCAAAGGTCGTCTGGAAGAGATTGCTTAGCGATAAGGCCGCCTTTTGTATCATTTCTTATTACAATTAAATGTATTTATTATTTTATAAATGGTGCAATAAAGTGTAAATAAATAAAATTCTTGGCGTCGATATATCTAGCGACGTCCAGTTTTGCGGTCATCTGGAGGAAAAAGCTAAGATAGCTTCCAAAAAGTTGGGCGTGCTCAATAGGGTGAGACGGTATTTCACGCCAGAAAACCGCCTGAAACTGTATAAAGCTCAAGTGAGGCCACACATGGAATACTGTTCTCACCTGTGGGCAGGAGCGCCACAGTACCAACTCCTTCCGTTAGACCGCATTCAAAGTCGGGCAGCTCGAATTGTTGACGATCGGCGTCTTACTGTCCGACTCGACCCACTGAAACTGCGTAGAGATGTTGCATCTCTGTGCATCTTCTACCGAATTTATCATGGGGAGTGCTCTGAAGAATTGTTCGGATTGATACCTGCTGCAGATTTTCACCATCGTACAACCCGCCATAAACTAAAATTTCATCCCAACCATCTGGACGAGTGGCGGTCCTCCACCGTGTGTTTTTCAAGGCACTTTCTCCCACGCACAACCACTTTGGAATCAACTTCCAGCAGCAGTATTTCCGAACCGATACGACAACATAACCTTCAAGAAAAGAGCATATTCCTTTTTAAAAGGCCAGCAGCACACCTGCAATGCCGTAGGTGTTGTGGGTGATCATGGGCGGCGGTAGTCACTTACCATCAGGTGAGCCGCATGCTCGTTTGCCCCCTGTGTTGTAAAAAAAAAATTAATTTATTAATTAAATAAATAATATTATTATATTTTTTTAATTGATTTATTTATCACTAAAGATTGGGATTATTCTTAAATGCATATGCAATTTGAGTGTTTTTATAAAAAGTATGCGCGCATATAGCTAATACAAGGAAGTACCTATTGTGATATTGTTGACGCACGCGTCTGTGATTACTGAACACATATTGTTTGTTTTGGGGTAACTGGATGGGGGTAGTGCTTTCGTGCATTAATATGGACGTATGCGATACACAGTTATAAGGGTTACTGGTACATGGCGATTCTTTTAACTTGTGTCACATTTTTTTTTACAACCTATAAACAGACTTCAAAATGAAGAAAGTTCTCAATTCGGTCGTATTTCCTTTTATTTAATCATTCATTGATCAATGACTTTTTTATTTAATTAATTAATAATTGTGTTTTTGTAGTATCCTAGGCACGCTACCAGCTGGCAGTGATCTCAAAGAAATTTTTTATCTTTAAATATTTTTTTAAATATTTGTTCTTGATATTTATAGAACGTAAATGTTCTTAATTTAATTAGTATAATTTATTTATTATTATATTATTATTATTATTTTTATGCAAACTTTATTACTCAGCTATAGCTGGTATATACGCTACTTTGCGTATACTGCACTTACGGGCCGAGACCAAGTAAGTGCAGTGTGTGAGTTTTTGTGTGTGTGCGTGTGCGCGCCCATGCATGCATATGCATGTGCATTATTATTAGTATAATTGAATTAATTCCTAGTATAATTCTATAATAATTTATTTAATAAATAAAATTAATAAATGATTGAAGGAATAAATAAATGACGAAAGAATTATTAATGAATGCTGAATAAATGATGGATGAATGAGTGATGAAAGAATGTAAATGAATGCTGAACGAATGATAATTTATCATTCGTTCAGTATTCAATTTTAATTAAGGACTAGCTGTTCCCCGCGACTTCGTCCGCGTTTCCGTCGTTTTTCGTAAAATAAGTAACCTCTGTCCGTCCTCACGGTTCAGTGGTTTTGATGTAACAGACACATTTCCCTTCATTGCTCTGCTCCTATTAGTCGTAGCGTGATGAAAAGTATACTATAACCTGGCCAGGAGTATGAAGAATAATTGTACCAAGTTTCGTTAAGATCCGCCGAGTAGTTTTTATTTCTATAACGAACATACAGACAGACAGACAAAAAGTTTACTGATTGCATTTTTGTCATCAGTATCGATCACTAATCATCCGCTGATAGTTATGTTGTAAATATATTTTATGTACAGAATTGACCTCTTTACAGATTTATTATAAGTATATAGATAGATATAGATTAATTCTAATTAAGGATGAATAATTAGCAAATAATGAATAATGTGCAAATAATAATATGCATTATAGATGAATTATGAATTAATTACAGAAGGTAAATAAATAATGAATGATCACGAATGAACGATGAATGGATGATTAATGATAATGAATGCTGAATAAATGAATGATGAATAGATAATGAATTATGACGTTTTTTTTGATGGGTGAAAATGGTATGGTAACCCCGCCTGCGCTAACGGGACACGCTGGCGGAGCACCAGTGAAGGGTGATAGATGAGAACGAAAACAGGCCAGTTAGCCCATCATGATGAATTCATCAGGAATTAACCATGATAATTTCCAGGGAGAACTGCGAGGAGGTCGACCTGGATTCTCAGTCTCCATTACTAACAATCCCTTTCCCCCCAATTATGAGGACTTAATGATAGTGAAATAATTGAATTAATTCTGAACTAATAATTAATTACTTAATAATCTTTTTCCGCCAGGTAATCCACTGTTCCGGTTACCTGCGGGCGCGTCGCTTCGGCGAGGGCTCGGCGCCGCTCGGCCTGGTGGCGGTGGGCCACTCCCTCCCCCCCTCGGCGGTCACTGAGCTCAAGCTTCACTCAAACATGTTCATGTTCCGCGCCTCGCTCGACATGAGGCTGATATTCCTTGATGCCAGGTAAGTGAAATGAAATATATTTATATAAATAATGCATACGGCCCGCCTTATACTAAATTGCAACATAACCTATGTATGGACACTTTCGAAGTGTGGATTCGTGTCTCGCCCGTTTAGAAATTTTTCAATCACTCAATACATTATTGGCTGATGATTTTTAAACTAAACTTTATATTTATATTTTATAGTTACGTTTGTTGATCTGTATATCAGTTTTACGACGTCTAACAGGTTGACATCACTGGCATGTACCTATAAAAAAAAAGAAAAAATAAATAAATATACACTGTACTTACACGAAGATATGGATTCAAATATATAAAATTTTCGAAAAAAAAAACTGCAATAAAAGTAATGTAAATGAAAGATGAACTAAAGAGAAACATCCAAAGCCGTGAAACTGTTTTAAAAAAAAAAAGCTTCGTGAACGTTCTCGCGCCACTTTTGATGTCAAACTAGATTTATACATTTTTTATGTTATAACTACCGGTTTAACTTACGTGTTAATTAGATCGAGAAAACTCGACTAGTTTTGAGACCAATTCGGGACCCTTAATCATGAGCGGCTGTGATTCGAGCGCGAGCTTGACTGCGGGCCTCGGCATAGATTTCTACAGTTATCTATCTTGTTGCCTACCTAATAATTGTACCAAATAAAACCAAATTGACCAACCAATGTGGTATCTATCTATTTATACGTGAAGCAAAAACTTTGTACCCCTTTTTTATGAAAATTACGCGGACGGAGGAGTATGACATTTGGCACACTTATAGTTTATATAGAGAAGGAGCGCACAATGATAATATTTTTTTAAAAATTATGCATAAAAAAAATACGTTAAATTAATAAAAAACATTACACACACTAGCATGTAATTTTTTTTTGATGGATGAAAGTCGTATGATAACCCCGCCTGCGCTAACGGGATACGCTGGCGGAGCACCAGTGAAGGGTGATAGATGAGAATGAAAACAGGCCAGTTAGCCCATCATGATGAATTCATCAGGAATTAACCACGATAGTTTCCAGGGGGAACCGCGAGGAGCTCGACCTGGTTGGGTATATTGCTAGCAATGGAATTCTCAGTCTCCATTACTAATAATCCATTTCCCCCATTACTAACATGTATTTGATACACACACGCATATATACTCTTTTGTTTATTGTTAAAGTCTATGGTCAAATTGAGAATAGACTAATATTGCTTGTCTTTAATATTATTTGTATTATATCTAGTCTTACTGAATGTGAAACGTATATATATAGTATAGAGTTTTGACAGTGGAACCTTAATAATGTTAAAACCAGAGAGAGACTTTGTACAAAAGTCGATTGCTTGGGTACCTCTGTCCCATTCGTGTTTCAACAGTGAAGCAGTTGTGTTTGCGTGGCTGTATTTCGGTTTGAAGGGTGGGATATGGCGTAAATTTACAGGGTACAGAGGAATAACACCTGAGTCCTCAGGAATGGCATGGCAACGCATGGGGGGTATCATGGGCGAAACAGTACACACGGTTACCACTTTCCATCAGGTGGACCGTCAGCTTGTTTGCCATTTTAAGTAGTATAAAAAAAACCTATAATTTAAATTAATTATAATCCAATTTCGACCAAGGGGCGACCACTAGAAAATCTAAAAAGAGGGTCTCTATCTATCTGTCTTTTAACCAATGCAACGGAACGACAACACATGAGGGGTATCATGGGCGAAACAGTATACTCTGTTGTGTCCATGGTACTGCACATGTCTATAGGCGACAGTTACCACTTTCCATCAGGTGGACCGTATGCTTGTTTTGCCACCTAAATGTTGGTAAAAAAAATACAGATTAATCTCATTAACATTTAATCAAAATCGGTTCAGTAATTTAGATTTTTAATCAAAATAAGTAAAATCAAGAAACCAACCATCCTAAGTTCGTATAATGTCGTCCGTCGTCTGTACATTCGTCACAATAAATAATAAATTTCACGAGAGTTAATAAAATAAAGGGTCGTCACGCCACCGAACCGGAACGAACCGGTTTCACGGCCGCCCACGTGTGGGACGCTGTCGATCCATATATCGATACAGTTTGAGATATTTAATCATTGTCTATATACATGAGTCCATGCTCACCTTATGAAGTCATCACAACAACACAATAAAAAAAACCTATCACCTGCCCCCTCGCTGGTACCTCGCCGGCGGATACCGTTAGCACAAGCAGGGTTGCCATTCCATTATCATCCATTAAAAAATATCTGGCTTCAATACCTTTTTGGATGCTATAAGAAAACAGTAGACCACTCATCAAATCTCATTTTTAGGCAGTCGCTATGGCTAAATATAGACGACGATCCCGTCGTCGGGGGGAAAAGGATTATTAGTAATGGGATCTAATTGTCCCATTGCCAGCAATACACCCTATCAGGTTATCTGGCTAATCCTATCCTGAAAACCATCGTGGTTAACTCTAGTGGAATTCATCACGATAAGCTAACGATGAGCTACTTTTTCATCCTCACCTATCATCCTTCACTGGTGTCTCGCCAGGATATATCGAAAGCGCAGGCAGGGTCACCATTCCATTATCACCCACAAAACAACACTTTACTTTCTTCTTGATTCGATTTTGTATCTACTCTCTAGTTAGTATAAATACAAAACGATCGAATATCATCAATCGATGACCTGTATAAATCGATTTATAATCTCAGTTACGATTTCCTTATGAAAATAACTTGCAAATAACGCCCCTCCCTACTGGGTGCAGTTCGCAGTCGATATCGCGGTGGTTCCGCGAACTAAGCATTGCGACGCGAACAATACTGGCCCTTTGCCGCCATCTCCACTGGCCGTCACCTCACGTGTGACGTAAGAAGAAAAAAAGAAAAAAAAACAATTATGAAAAGAAAAAACCAATCGTGTCTTATCAAGAAGTCACGAAACTACATTTTTGTGAAGAAGAAGTAAAAACTTCAGCCAAAGTGTGTCAAGATACAGTCTTGGATCGTGTTGCGAAACTTCACAGCAATACATTTTTTAAAAATATACCGTGGACTTTCCAGCAGGACTCTGCACCTGGTCACAAGGCACGAACTACCCAAGCCTGGCTTGAAACCAACGTTCCAGACTTTATAGCTGAAGACTAGCCCTCATCTAGCCCAGACCTCAATCCTTTAATCAGACTTCAAATTATGGTCAGTTTTAGAGGGCACGGCCTGCTCTAAATGGCACGACGACATTGGACGACATTGAGTCTCTTAAAAAATCTTTGGAGCAAGCAGTGGCGAAATTTTGAACTTCAATTGTGTCAAAAACAGATGTTTTGATCTTAAATCGAAACTACTGCAACGATTTTTATGGGACTTATCTGTAAATTTATCCTTAAATCCAGATAAAATAATTTTTCATATCGGTTTAGAACAGACACAGTTGTAAGGCACAGATAATATAATACTATTGTAAGGTAACAAACTTAAAAGAAAATACAGTCTAATCGAGAGCCTCCTTCTTTTTAACATCGGTTAAAGAGAATACTGAATGACTGCCGCGTACGCCTATTAACGCAAATCCGAAATCGTTAAATCTAGAATTTTGCAAATTTTCAGATAACAGATAAAAATGATTAAAAGACTGTCATCATTGTGTTCTCTTGTATTTGATATTTTTTAGTCTCATTGCTTAAAAAATTCGCTAACACTCAGGTTGTGTAATGAGCTCCCTGACGAGGTTTCCCTAGAGACGACAGTATGGGGTTCTTCAAAAAGGTTGTATTAAGGTTTTTTCAGGGTCGGCAATGCTGTTACTGTTACTGCAAGCTGTTACCCCTAGTGTTGTAAACGATCATAGACTACAGTAACCGTTTACCATCAGACGGGCTGTAAGTCCTCAGGAATGGCTACGCATGGGAGGTATCACGGGCGAAACAGTATACTCTGTTAAGTCCAAGGTACTGCTCATGTCTACAGGCAACGGTTACCACTTTCCATCAGGTGGGCAGTCAGCTTGTTTGCCATTCTAAATTGCATAAAAAAAATACTTATTTGCCACTTTCGTGGTATAAAAAAAAGGTTATATACCGAGAAATACTTCTCGGTACGTACGACAGTGGAAAACGGCCCAAGATCGCCGTTTATTGGTTCACGCCAATCACTGGACCGTAAACCGTCGACCTTACAATACCGAGTGACGCTTCGAGGAAACGCGCGATATGCCGCACTTGTGTGCTGCACTGTACGACCGCTTGAAAGCTGTTTTAATGGGGAGGAAGGGATTGTTAGTAATAGGGAGGTTAGTCCACATCGCTATCAATATACCCTACCAGGTTGATCACCACGCGGTTTCCCCTGGAAGCCATCATGACTATTTTATCATGGAATTCATCACGATGGGCTAACTGACCTGTCTTTTCATTCTCACCTATCATCCTTTACTAGTGCCCCGCCAGCGTATACCGATAGCGGTTACCATTCCATTATCATCCATTTAAAAACAAGACCTATTTGAATAATTCTTTTTTTTTATCTGCAAAAATATACTCACGATGTGAACAATTGCCATGCAAAAGACATACAATTACAGAAATTTAAATCGATATCTGTGTTATTGTATTTATTTATGATCGAGATATAGGCATAGGTGTTTGCATCGTGATGAAAACATCTAGAATTCAGCACGATGGTTTTTAGGGGGGAAATATATTGCTAGCAATGGGGCTGGTAGGTTCATTACTAATAAGCCCTTCCCCCCCCCCCCCCATCCAAATCGATTTACATCTGACAAAGGTAACAAAACATATTCTTTTCCATCCCGTATAGTATATATATATTACATTTCATAGTGATTGGTAAAGCCGTTAAGACGCTTATAGGTAACAAACAAACTCACTTTCTCAATTATAATATTAATAAGGATACTGTCTAATAACAAATCTTGATTTGTATTATGAGGGTGGACAGAGCAAGGAATATATATAAGGATTGACGCCCTTGATACTGCTTACACCATTTAAAA